AATAAATAAAATCTTAAAAAAAAAAAATAATAAAATAAAATAAAATAAAATTCCATTTAAGCCTAGGAAGGAAGAACCTTGATCTATTTGGTTTGGAAACCCATGGGGAGAAATAATCTTGCTTCTTTTGAGTCTGTTTCTCTAAGTGTTCTTGGCAATTTCAACCAATATATCTTTTTTAAAACTGTTTATTCAAAACTATCACAAAAGTTATAAAATTCAAGTACTAGAGACATTTAAAAAGTTGAAATCCTTCCCTTCCAGGGATAACCATTGTCAACAATTTGGTGTGCATCTTTCTAAACTTTCTTCTAGGAATATACAAATATGTATACACATATCCTTAAGAAAAAAACCCAATTGGGTTTTACTATACATATTTTTCTGCAACGTTTTTCTTTCCATTCAATAATATAGCATACACATGAGGGAAAGGGAAATAGTCTCAACGAGGGCTTTTGATATCTGTTTTGAAAATTCTCCCAGAAAAGCTGTACCAGTTTATATTTCCCAGCAGCAGCCCATCAAGCTGCCTGTTTCCCCACATGCTCATTCTTTTCAACGGCCACTCTACTCTGTGGCTAAGCCATCACTCATTTTAACACCCTGTTACTCATAGGTTGTCTTCAATTGTTTTCCATTACAAATACACATATACACACATATATAAAAGTTACTTTTCCTCGGGAATTTGTAAAAGGATTTCCAAATGATAGTCATCTGGTCAAATGATATGCATATTTTAACTGTCAACAGGTAAAGCTAAATGGCCCTCTAAAAAATGTACCAATTTATACTTCTAGTAGTGTTCATGTATATCCTTCTTCATATCTTGCCAATATTAGTATCATTGCTTCTTATTTTTGCAGTTGGGTAGCTTAAAAATGATCTCATTCTCCTGATTATGAGAGAAGCTGAGTATTACTTTTACATTTACCAGCTGTTCATGTTTCTTCTGAGAACTGGCACTTCAATACTTTTTTTAATTATTGATTTTTTAGGACATCCCTGATTGTTAGGGACCTTAGCCCCTTACCTGTTATTCTCCTATAATTACTTGTAAAATAGGGGTAAAAATTACCTCAAATGGCTGTTGTAAGGATTAAATGAGAAAATACATGGTAAAGTGTTTAGTATACTGCCTGGTACATAGCACAGCATGCATTCAATATCTGCTATTATTATTATTATTATTATATATGCTGTTATTATTACCCCTATATGTTGCAAACATTTTGCCCCATCCTTTTCTTTTTAAAATTTAAGGTATCCTTCAACAAAAGGTTTATAATATTTACATAGTCATTTATGTCAATACTTTTCTTTATGGCACATAAGAAATGTTCAAGGAAGTCCATCAGGCAGATGAAAAACGACAGCAGATGAATATCTTCATTTACAGAAAGAAATGAAGAGCAGTGAAAATGTTAAATACGTAGGCAAATAGAAAAGATTTTTTTCTAATTATTTAAATCTCTTTAAAGATAACTGATAATTAAAGAACAGAGTGTGGTGTTAACGACATAAGTAGAGTAAAATGTGTGACATAATAGCACCAAGGTCAGAAAGGGAGAAGTAGAAATATGCTGTTGGAAGGTTCTTAAACCGTAAGTGAAGTGGTATAATATTGTTTGAAGACAGACTGGGATAAGTTAAAGATGCATCCACTCAAATAACAAAATCTATAGTTAACATGTTAGCAAAAAAGATAAAATAGATCATAAAAATGCTCAACTAATTCAAACGAAAGCAGAAAGAGGAAAAAGACAACAAAGAAGAAAATAAATAACAAGATAGTAGAGTTAAATCTAACCATATCAATACTGATATGAGAAAAAAAGGGCACAGATTGTCAGATTGGACTAAAAAGATCCAACTATATGCTATAGCTGTCTAAAAGAAATCCACCTTAAATATAAAGCCATAAATAGGTAAAAAGTAAAATTGATGGTAAGTGATACAACAGCCTTGAAGAAAGCAAAAAGACAACCCGCAGAATGGGAGAAAATATTTGCAAATCATGTATCTGATAAGAGACTTGTATCTAGAATATATAAAAAACTCTCAAAAATCAGTAATAAAAAGACAATCCACTTTAAAAAATGGACTAAGGATCTGAATAGACATTTCTCCAAAGAAGATAAACAAACGGCCAATATGCACATATATGCTCAACATAATTAGCTATCAGTGAAGTCCAAACCAAAAGCACAATGAGATACCACTTCACATCCACTAGGATGGCGATAGTAAAAAAAGACAGATCACAAGTGTTGGTGGAATGTGGAGAAAGTGGAACCCTCATATATTGTTAGGGAACATGTAAAATGGTACAGCTGCTTTGGAAAACAGTCTGGCAGTTCCTCAACAACCTGATCAAAAAATGGGCATAGGATATGAACGGACATTTTTCCAAAGATATACAGATGGCCAACAGACATATAAAGAGATGTTCAACATCACTAATTATTAGGGAAATGGAATCAAAACTACAATGAGATATCACCTTGCGCTTGTCAGAATGGCTATTATTAAAAAGACAAGAAATAACAAGTGTTGGAGAGGATGGGAGAAAAGAGAACCCTCATACACTTCTGGTGGGAATGCAAACTGGTACAGCCACTATGGAAAACAGTATGGAGATTTCTCAAAAAATTAAAAATAGAAATACCATACGATCCAGGTATTCCACTTATGGGTATTTATCCAAAGAACATGAAAACACGCATGCATAAAGATACATGCACCCCTATGTTCATCACAGCATTATTCACAATAGCTAAGATTTGGAAGCAACCCAAATGCCCATCAATGGATGAATGGATAAAGAAGACGTGGTATATATATACAACTTAGTACTACTCAGCCATAAAAAAGACAAAATCGTGCCTTCTG